TCCCTCTCCCTCCCTCTCCCTCCCTCTCCCTCCCTCTCCCTCCCTCTCAGGTCCCTCTCCCTAAACACTGAAATCCAGAGATAGTTTCTCTCAGAAAACCACGCACCCTGAAAGCAATTAAATCTAGGCTTGTTTCCCTTAGGGGACTTTAATTGCCCTCAAGGGGACCCCAAGCAAGCACTCAAATCCAGAGTCCCTCCGAGGACCCCACGCAAATTATATCCGAGGACTCCACGCAAATAATTAAATCCAGAGTAGAGCGCCCCAGGCAGTTGTAAATTTATGTAAGAATAAGTCCAGACTTACATCCCGCTGCTCTTGCCGTGTCCATAGGAACCTTGGACTTATCTGTATATGAGTTTCGAGACACGCCCCCCCTTTTAATACAGGAATGTGCCTTAAACCAACGGGGATCCTTATCTGAGCGAAGGGTACTGGGCTCTTTGGGGAGCCTGTCGCGAGAAACGCACCCAATATATAAACGGTACGGGTTGATAATAATAAGATACGAACGAACAAAGTGAGTCCGTGCATGAATTAAGAGAAAGAGTGAACGAAACATGCATTCACTTCATCACTTGATTTCATGTAATTTCATATTTCATTTTCATTCATGCATGCATTCATTCAATCTTTCCATTTCGTTCATTCATTCATTCCATTTCGTTCATCCGCTCATTCATCCGTTCATCCGTTCATCCGTTCATCCGTTCATCCTGTCATCCTTTCACCCATTCATCCATTCATCCAGTCATCCATTTATCCATTCATCCGTTCATCCATCCATCCATCCATTCATTCATTCATCCATTCATTTATTCATGCGTTCATTCATTCATTCATTCATTCATTCATTTATTCATTCGTTCAGTCATTCATTCAACCATTATTTCATTTCAATTCACTTCATTTCATTTCACTTCACTTCATGTCATTTCATTTCGTTTCACTTCACTTCATGTCATTTCATTTCGTTTCATTCCATTTCATTTCTATTCATTTCAATTCGATTCATTTCAATTCGTTTCAATTCATTTCAATTCATTTCAATTCGTTTCAATTCATTTGAATTCATTTCAATTCAATTCATTTCAATTCATTCATTTCAAATTCTATTATTGTTATTAAGCTATCCCGCGTGCATAATAAGAATGCTCGCGCCGTGACACGAATAGTTATACAAAGTCAAGAGAATACAGTATTGTTATTCAGGGGCACAGAGTGAGGCGAACACGGCGCCCGAACGAAACAAGGAAGCGTCTGTAAGGTTGGGACACAACACCCTGAGAACTTGGATGTAGAATTCAAGCCTTAGGTAACAGCCTGGTGATCAATAATGTTATGGACGGGTTTTAAGAGTATTAACCGGCCCGCATAATAACAGCGAAGAGAATAATATCAACAAAAATTACAAACGAACGCAATGCGTGCGTGAACTTAATCTAACTTAATGGCTTTTAAACGATACCCAGCGGCCTCCTTCTCACGGTTCGTGTATATATATATATATATATGTATGTTACTTTTTAAACATATGTATACACAGATATCATAGTCCATATACATGTACATAAATATTTGCATACATGCATATGTATTCTGTGTTCTATTCTATGTTTCTGTATTGTAGTATACATACATATGCAATACAATGTGACTATATTGCCTCGCAGCTAAAATATTACGAGATGTATATTTGTATGTACTGCATTACGAAGAATATGATCTTTCACAGCAAAAACGTAAAATTATTGCGATGTAATACATCAAGAATGTATGTAGATGTGTAAAAATATCTATACGTTTGTACTACAGGAAGAGGAAACGGGGGAGTGGCTAAACAGTGGCTAAACCGTGCGCGTACAACGGTGCTGCATTTGTACTACAGGAAGAGGAAACGGGGAGCGGCCCGAAACCGCGCACATACGAGGGTCCCTGCATTTGTCCTACAATAAGAGGAAGCCAGGAGAGGCCCCAAACCGCGCGCGTGCAACAGCAGGCTCCCCTAGAGGTACTGCAGTTGTACTACAGGAAGAGGAAACGCCCAAACCGCGCGCGGCGGGTGGGCGGGCGTGCACGTGCGGTGTGGGCGGGCGGCGAGCATGAAAAACAAGAACCCCACACGGTGATGTGGGGAAAAAGTCATTCCACTGCAATGTCTGATGCACACCCTCCCCCAAAGCCCCCCGCACCGCACTCAAGTCATTCCACTGCAATGAGTCTGCCGCGCCCCCTCCCCCAGCACCAAAAAGACAATTCATTCCACACAATGTCTGGCGCCCCCCCTCCCCCAAGGCCGCCCGCACTACTCTCAGCACCAAACCCATTCATTCCACCGCAAGGTCTGACACGCGCACCTTTCCCAAACGGCGACCACACGACTCTCAGCGCCAAAAACAAATCATTCCATTGCAATGTCTGACGCGCACCCTCCCAAGGCCCCCACACTACACTCAGCACCAAAAACAATTCAACTCATGCCACTGCCATGTCTGACACACGCCCGCCCCTAAGGCCCCCCGCCACACTCAGCGCCAAAAACAATTCATTCCACTGCAATGTTTGCTGCAACTGCAACCCGCTCCCCTCAGCATTCATTCCCCGCAATGCTTGACGCACCCCCACCCCCCCTCCCCCACTCAGCAGCAAAAACAACCCATTCCCCACCGCAACGTTTGACGGTGGAGGCACCGCCCCCTCCATTAAGGCTCCCGGCACTACACGCAGCACCAAAATCAGTTCATTCCACCGCAGTGTCTGCTGCGCCACTGCCGCCCCCCCTTCTCCCCCCCCACCAAGGGCTCCCGCACTACACTCATGTTTCAAGCTTCTGTTCTCTGTTCACTGCATGAATCATGCAAACCCTCGAGGCCCAGTTTGATATGGCGCTCCTTACACCGCAAACCGCATGCTGCTCCCAATAACAAAGCCTGGCTAAACCTTGAAGCTGGGCAAAGCTGCACAAAGAGCCTGAAACAACACTCCTGCCACACTTTCGATGCAGGCTCGCTCGTGCAGGCTGGATTAACACCGCTAGGGAAAAACTCTAGACATCTCGAAGTAGTTTCAGCTACAAAGCGTGGAGGGTATGCTCCCAAAGCCAGCTCGTTTTCCAGAGTGTTGGGGCTAAATGGAATACCGGCAATACGATGCAGGCGGCCAAAGGGGGCAACAAGCATCAGAGGTCTTCACAGCTGGAATGCAAAAGACGACACGGTGCAAGGCAGCGTTTCAACAGTGAACTGCTTTCCACGCAGGATGCTGGCAAAGGGTTCCGCGTTTAAGGTGTCAGAAGTTCGCCTTTGTGACCCGAAAATCCCGATGACCACCCTGTCGGGCCCAGAGGGCGGTTTGTGCAACAAGCTGGAGGTGCACGGGTTCTTCAGTACTTCACCGCCATGTCGTGTGCACCCCTTCCCCCGCCCCGCCTCTAGTTCTGGAACCCTCTTGGCAAGATAAGCAAAATACCATCTCACAGGATTCTTTCGCTGCTGTGGGAATTGCCGCTGGAGCATTCCCTGGAATGCGGGTGGAAACCATTCTGTGCGTTTTCCCGAACCTCGCCACCCCGCCCATACCCCTCCCCCTCCCAAAAAAAGAGAGAACATACTCATAATAACAAAAGAAAAGGGAAAGCCAAACGCATACGGAGACATAGACATAGACGTAGACATAGACATAGACATAGACTTAGACATAGACATAGACATAGACCCCAGCTGACCGAAGCCCTATTAGCCCTAGCCCTGCCGCAGACGGCCTTAGAAGAAGCTAAAGTGCCCCTGTCGTGTACTAGCCCCTAAGAGAGACCGGCAGGCTCCAGGATCACGTGACAACGAGACTGGAGAAGCATGGCTTTGACAGCGACTGAACGGCGCAGAACTGCGACGAGACTGGAGATTTGGTGTCGAAGCCAGCGACTGAACGGTACAGCCTGAAGACCAACACCCGCACCCGAAAACGAGGCCATGGGGGCAAACTGAAAGGACGTGAGCCCAGGGCCCCTGCCTCGCACACCATCACCCTCATGTTGTCCAGCATCACAGCCTCTTGGAAGTTGATGGTTCAATGTGGACAGTTTAGGGCCGTTAGGGGGGGGGGGGGGGGGGGGGGGCACAAACAAGACCACCGGCTCGAAGCCCGGTAGTTGAGCCGCACTTCTTTCTTCACAGAAGTCGAAGCAGTCTGTGAGCCTGCTTGGCCTCTCCTGCTTAGGCCTACTTGATTCTGTGCAGCCCTTGTTCAGCTTTCCGGAAGCCATGCCTGTAACACCAGCACCCAAAGGTTGGATGTACATGGATGTACATGGATGTACACGTTCAAGCACTCGCGAGGCTCAAGTACATCGTTAACCTTCTCTTCCTTCTCTTTCTGATCGGAGCCCAAACCTTCGCACGACCCCAGGGATGTGGATTCAGAATCCAACAGCCGTCAACATCCGCCACTTGCAGCTCAAATCGACATGTGTTCCAAGAAGTACTGTGATTGCCGTTGGCGTTCTTGCTTCTTGCTACAGGTTTTGCGTGTCCGGCAGCACATTGCAAGTCTCCTCCGCACAGCTGTCCGGCACATCTGAGAACGGTGCATTGAGCAGGCAGCTGCTTTGTTCTCTCCCTCCCTTAGCCGGGCAGGTCTAGGTTTCCGAAGCGCGCAACGCCACGAAGAACTCCCCGAATTGGTAGAGGTGGTAGCTTTCGGACGCCAGGAAGGCCACGGCCTCGGAGACTTCGGTGGCGTAGCCCTGGTCCGCAATCTGCCGCTGGTCCCAGGCCCAGTGGAATCGCAGGATGGCCGGGCGCAGTCCCAGCGCCAGGAACGCGGAGAGCATCCGCAGGGCGTCCTGGGTGTCCAGGAAGAGCATGTCCACAAAGGAGGGCTCCAGGCCCTCCTTCTGCAACAAGCTGCCGGGAGAAATGCAGGTGACAGTTCTTTCCTGGATGAAGGGCATGAGGTCCTCGACCTGGATCCTGCGCCCGTCACTCCCGTCACTGATCCGGCGGGCCAGAATGTCGGCCAGGTTCTGCAGCAGGAAGTTGAGATTCAGGGTGCCCCAGCTGTCCCAGCGTTTGACGCCGCCCAGCTCCTGCACGGAGTATTTTGTGTGCACTTGCTCTGAAAGTGAGAAGAAGGAGGCTTCAGCATCTGCCGCACAGACAGCTGCTGAGAGCACCCGTCTCCGACACGAGAAATCTGAGAAGTACTCCCTGAGGCGTTCTTCTAGCAGTGCGGCCACGTCTGGATTGGCTTCCACCATCACGGCCTCCAGGCAAGGATCGCTAAGATCGCTACGATTCCCAAACAGGGCCGCGTAGAAGGGCTTGGTGCGGTCGTTCGAGAGGTCCTTGCAGCCCACATGAATCAAAGTGGGAAGCCTTGCTCTTCGAGCTGCGCCAGCTGCTCTTCGCTTGAAGAGCGCCGTGCTCGCTTCCCGGGCTAAGCGGAGGACCTCGCCACAAGGGTGGGCGTAGAGCCCGGGCTGCATGTAGCGGAGCTGGTAGTGCTCAGCCGGTGGACACAGCTCCCCCGGAGCACAGAGCCGCATCTTGGCCAGGCCCTCGCACTCCATCTGCGCCCCCTGAAACTGAGAAGAAACTGCGAAGACCATGGAGTGGTTTTTAAGACCATCTGTGCACCCGGGCTGACCCTCAACCGGGGCTCTCAGGACATCGGCTCAATGCAAAACGCAATGCGTAGTTCAATTTAGCTCAATGAACTGACTAAACCCGAAACTCCTAAACCCTAAACTTTGGCTCTAAACCCTCAACCCTACGACGTAAAACCCCAAGGAAGCAAAAGTGCAAGCAATGGAAGCTCTCAACGGGAATGCTAGGAGCTCACAACTGGATCAATCAACGGCTCGGAGATGCACATGAACTTCATGTGGCCCCTGTAGACGCCACGAACTCTCCAATGTCCAACAATCCTGAACGTGGCAAATAGGTGCTAGTTTTGTAGGGAAGGTTTTAGGGCCAGTTGGCGGTGCAAAACTGATCGACAGAGTTCCAGTCTCTCTGTTTATTCTCCCACAGGCCCGCCGTCGCTTCGAGGAGTCTGTCATGATCGTAATGCAACATTGGGCGGACAGCTTGAGTTTACAACAAAGCCGCAGACAGGCATTCCGGAAGCTTAAATTCGCAAACCTTGGGCCTCAGCCGAAAGCTTCGCAGGAGATGAAGGTTTCAAGGGTACCCGGTTAGCACACAGTGCAGCACAGCAAGAACTCAGGGACTCACTGGGGCTCTTGCTGAATCCCAGCAGATGACAGGGCTGCCAGGGGCATTGTGCAAGATGCTGCACAGCCACGATCCTTGGCCAAAGCTGGGCACAAGCTAGCGCGGCGTAAGAAACCGTGTTGGTCAGGCTCCAGGGATTCGTGCAACACAATGGCCAGGACTGAGGGAGGTGGTGGAGGAAAGGATCGAGGACCACTGGGTCAACACTTGCCCAGACACCACGCAGGCTCCAGGGTTTCTGGAAAGGATCGAGGACCACTGGGTCAACACCTTGCCCAGACACCACGCAGGCTCCAGGGTTTCGTGCAACACAATGGCCAGGACTGAGGGAGGTGGTGGAGGAAAGGATCGAGGACCACTGGGTCAACACTTGCCCAGACACCACGCAGGCTCCAGGGTTTCGTGCAACACAATGGCCAGGACTGAGGGAGGTGGTGGAGGAAAGGATCGAGGACCACTGGGTCAACACTTGCCCAGACACCACGCAGGCTCCAGGGTTTCGTGCAACACAATGGCCAGGACTGAGGAAGGTGGTGGAAAGGATCGAGGACCACTGGGTCAACGCTTGCCCAGACACCACGCAGGCTCCAGGGTTTCGTGCAACACAATGGCCAGGACTGAGGGAGGTGGTGGAAAGGATCGAGGAACTGGGTCAACACCTTGCCCAGACACCACGCAGGCTCCAGGGTTTCGTGCAACACAATGGCCAGGACTGAGGAAGGTGGTGGAAAGGATCGAGGACCACTGGACCAACACCTTGCCCAGACACCACACAGGCTCCAGGGTTTCGTGCAACACAATGGCCAGGACTGAGGAAGGTGGTGGAAAGGATCGAGGACCACTGGGTCAACACCTTGCCCAGACACCACGCAGGCTCCAGGGTTTCGTGCAACACAATGGCCAGGACTGAGGGAGGTGGTGGAGGAAAGGATCGAGGACCACTGGGTCAACACTTGCCCAGACATCACGCAGGCTCCAGGGTTTCGTGCAACACAATGGCCAGGACTGAGGAAGGTGGTGGAAAGGATCGAGGACCACTGGGTCAACACCTTACCCAGACACCACGCAGGCTCCAGGGTTTCGTGCAACACAATGGCCAGGACTGAGGGAGGTGGTGGTGGAAAGGATCGAGGACCACTGGGTCAACACCTTGCCCAGACACCACGCAGGCTCCAGGGTTTCGTGCAACACAATGGCCAGGACTGAGGGAGGTGGTGGAGGAAAGGATCGAGGACCACTCGGTCAACACTTGCCCAGACATCACGCAGGCTCCAGGGTTTCGTGCAACACAATGGCCAGGACTGAGGAAGGTGGTGGAAAGGATCGAGGACCACTGGGTCAACACCTTACCCAGACACCACGCAGGCTCCAGGGTTTCGTGCAACACAATGGCCAGGGAGGAAAGGATCGAGGACCACTGGGTCAACACCTTGCCCAGACACCACGCAGGCTCCAGGGTTTTGTGCAACACAATGGCCAGGACTGAGGGGGGTGGTGGAGCAAAGGATCGAGGACCACTGGGTCAACACCTTGCCCAGACAGGTCAACACCTTGCCCAGTCACTGCGTAGGCTCCAGGGTTTTGTGCAACCAGGTTCTTGTCGCGTAGCCGATACATAGATTCATCTATCTATTTATGTATGTACATAGAAGGCTCTCAATTCTAGTCGGATCCCGAACGGGAACCATAAGCTAGCAGCAGCATGGCAACCTGCGTACAGACTGGATTGAAGCCCTGCACTGGACATGCCCCTGCACTGTAGAGCCGAACCTCTCGGTGTCATTCTGCCTCCGAAACTACCGTGGCCTGCAAAAAAACAGAAACTGAGGAAGGAGAGGCAGCCAAGAATCTGTCCAAGTACAGCTACGAGAAGTGGTGGCGGGCGCCTTGGCAGCTTGGCGTCCCTGAGCCCGGTAACTACCCCCTTCCATGTCAACATTAAAGCATCGGCGGAATCCCAGTGTTTCTTCTTCACCGTCATCACTGATACCATGGAAAAGTGAACTGCTTTGGCTCCCTCTGCCCATGGCCTCTCCTCCCACCTGAAGAAGTGCCCTTTTGCGAAAGTTGCCATTGATTGAGTCTTCGCTGTGTCTATTTTGTGTCACAGGCCAGTCTAAGCCCCCCCCCCCCCCCAACAAAAAAAAAAGCCCAAGCGGCGCGCGGAGCTGCGCGAAGAAGAGCTGGGATTTCCAGGGAAAGGGTTCTGCAGATGAGGCTCCTGCTGCGAGCTCTGCGCAGATCGGGCGGCGCACATTTAGGGGGTTAGGGGGTAGCTCAGGAGGTTGTGCGGGTTGTTCAGGGCACCCACGATGTACTGGGGCCTGATGGTTTTAGACATTTTTCGACAGCGAGCTGCAGGCAGGTAGCTGTGCACAATCAAGCCTTCCTAAGCTTCCTGTGCGTCCTATGTGACAAGCTGCGACGACTTGAAGCTACGGCAGGGGAAGAGCAGGCCCCGAGCACGGAGCACGAGTGTCCTCCCGTCAGATGGGCCGTCTCTATCGGCTCCTCCACATGAACCTATCGGGGACCGTTTGGAAAGTACCAACTTGGAGGTCTCATAGGATCTCGGAAGGGAACCTGTGTCCTTCTGAAAACGACATCCAGGAACATAAGACCCGTAAGATACCGTGAGATCCTCAAGTTGCCAGCCTGAGATAGCTTGAAGATGCTTGCCAGCTGCTTTTTCGTTTTCGGACCGAGCTTCTTCAAGGATCCGGCACAAACCGCTTAGAGGGTTGAAACCCTGCACCTTTCGAACGGGAGGCAGCAAATGGCTAGCCTCCCTGACTTCAATGATCAATGCAAGCTCGCAAGGGCTGTGCTAACATCAACACTCCGCAGCCCTCCTCCTCACACTTTGACATGTTGCTGCTTCTTGCTTCGACGTTCGCCACTAATTAGTTTCGTCCAGCACCCTGACTCTGGGCATAACTCTATCGACTCTCAGACTCCTGCCTAAGACGCAACATGACAACAACAATGGCAGCACATGCCAGGCACTGGCATTCTCAGCTCCCCGCCACACGGCGGCGGTTGAGTGAAGCGAGCGAAGCGAGTGAGCTGAGTGAAGCCCTGAAGGCTGCCGAAGGCGAAGCAAGGCGAAGCTACGGTTTCGCTCTGGGCTGTGTCAGGTACAGCAAGCATGACCTTGACGTCCTGCTTCCATCACACACGGCTCAACCTGACTGCCCCACGCAAAGGGAGAAGCAAAAGGACTCTGACTGACAAGCAAAAGGATTCTGACTGATCTCTTGACATGCGCGGAGACTGCGGGCGCCAGTAGTTTTTAAGGCCTCTTCTTCCGGTGACCTTCTGCAGGACTTTGCTACGAGATGGCGTTCTCAAGACTGCCACTCCAAAACTATTCGATGAGCCTCTCATCGCATTTAAAAAAAAGCAGGAGCTCCCTCTCCAAGTCCGGAGTCGCGAGCCAGTGGGCTGAAAACACTACGCTTAAAGTAACCAAATGGCTTAGGCATGCTCAAGCACTGCAATTTGATGACGGACCTGAGGGTAGGAGATCCAAAGAAGCCGGATTCCGACTTTCTTGTGAGAAATAACCCGTAGCTTGGACGCAGAAGGGTGAAGAACTTGGGGGAAGCTGGTCGGGACCGGATGTACTGTCTACAGGTGGTCCTGCTCACGGCGCCATCACGCTTTGAGCTAAAGGTGCAGCGAGGTACGCTCAGGACATCACGCGTTGACGACCTTGCCATAGAAGATGCCCTTCAGCAGCACAGTCCTGGACAGGGGGCTTTCTGACAAAGAGAATCTGCAGCCAAACAATTTGCAGAGGCTGTAGTGGCTGATGCATACATGTTGCCCTTCTATGTACTTTGGTTTTCTTTTTCATGTGTTTTTCATTTACTTATATATTTGCATGATACTGAAATCTTCATATCCCTTATATTTCTATTGACATCTATATCTATATCTATTTCTATTTCTATATCTATATTCATGTGCTTGTGTCTGGATTTTACTTACATGTATGTTTTTATGCAGATTCATTTTTAAATCCATCTATCCCATACCCTGGTCCCTGCACTTGTCGGTGTCCTTCGGCAAAACCGTAAGGACCCCCGTTGATTGTGACTGGCATTGGATCTTGCCCTGGAGCTACCACATGAGATGCCACCAACTTCAGTGCAGCAAATCCCTTGGCTCAAAAAGAGAAAAACATGCTGTACTCGAACCTGCTCATGATTGCACAAATGGGCTTGAAAGTGTCTCATGCAGTCCGATCTGACGCGCTTCTTAGCGCTGGTTTTGCCCCCCAATTCTCCGAAACAGGTCAAACCCGATCGGAGTCACGCGGCATTCCTGAAGCAAGGGTGCTTGTGCCCCTGATCATGTCAAATCTGTT